AGGACGGGGTTTCTCTCTATTTTAGCCGGCAGAGGGGGCAGGCAATTGCAGCAGGGCTGCACTGCGATGGCCCACGCAAAGCCAACCTCTGGCTTCCCCAGGCTTTGCTGCAAATGCAGCCGCATTAAGGGGGGGCAAAAAAAATCCCTATTTCCCCTCCCAAGGACCCACATTTTCAAACCTTGCTACCACCAGCTTTCAAGGCAGCGTTAAGATTTTTATGCTGACGCTTTTTGACTGATTCAGATGCTTAAAAGCAGCCAGATCCCAGGTCTGGGCTTCCCCCAGCTGCTCTCCCATTATCTCCTTGATAAATGCAGGGACACCAGATTGTGCTCCGATGGGGAACAGTAATGCTGAAGTGTCAGCTTTTTTGTAAGCCTCAGGCCTATTTTCACTTCCCCCCCTCCCCAGACCAACTCCAAGTTCGAGCAAATGTCTCCTGCAGGCTAAAATCAGATAGAGAAAAATTCACAGAAAACAAAAAAGTAGTACAAACCAAGGAAGTCTCCTGCGCCCTGAGTTTCAAGGTAGAAAAGCTCTAAGGACATGAGAATTGGTTCAGAGCACAGAGAAAATTCTGTATTTTTCTCCTGCAGAAAAACCTCCCGGTACTTGGAAGCGTGGCGGCTCCGGTGAAGCAAGGAAAGCAGCTGTGTGATGAGCTTGCCCGTTCTCTGCCCAGCCTCAGCGAGTAGGTGTCCCCACCGAGGGGGACACACACACACACGGGGGGGGTCCCTTGGGTGACGATGCCACGAGCACACGGGCAGAGCAGATTCCACCAGGACCCTGAGCCAAGACAAACCACCCCTGGAGTCCCCCTGGGGGTGGGGGGGGGTGGAATCAGTCCCCTACCAGCCCCCCAGGACCCCCCTCCTGCCCCACACGTGCCATGGGCACAGTCATCCACGGCAAGACAGTGAAAGCCCAGTGGGGGGGGGGGGGGGGGGGGGGCGAGGGACCTGCCCCACGGCCGCTCACACACAACCGACCACAGGCAACAACTCTGGATTTCAGCTTCCTCCGTGTAAACAGACTCCCCCCCCCCCCCCCACCCCCCCCTTTCCTGCTCGCCGCTTCCTTCAGCCACGCAGATAACATTGTCCGGCTGTGAAAAACAAGCTCCCTCCCTCCCCTCGGAGAAACAAAAATCCTCCTGTTGCAGTGCAAAGCGATACCGGGCACCCTGCCCCCGGCCTTAAGGCACCCCCAGATCACCCCGTCACCACCCCAGGAAGCTGCAACCCCCCCCACAGCTGATTTATATGAAGTTAATTAAACCAGGCACAGCTGAGATAGATCCACACGCTGATGGAGTTTTTTTTTTTTTTTTTTCCCCCCAGCTGTTTTGAGCAGCCCACGAGCTGGCCGAGCTTCCCCGGTGCTCGTTGTTGCAGGTGAGCTGCAGCACAAAACGCGCCCCGGTTTATTTTTCCATATTTTTCCATTAAATAACTGGTGCTAAAAGCCGTCCCGGCTCTGGGACGGGGAGGAGAGCAGCTCCCACGCTTCAGAGCTTCAAGCACAGCGTCTTCAAAAAAGGGCCGTGGGTTTTGTCCCTTCCCTGGCCCGTGTGCTGCGGGGCTCCCCACGCTTTTGGGTAAAGCGAAAGCGTTTTGGAGACTAAACAAACTGAAGCTGAATGCGACAGTTTTAGGGGTGGAAACCCACCCACACTTTGGGGAGGGGGGGAGTGGGTGCTCCTGGGGCTGCTCGGCCCCATCCCAGCTCTGGGGTCACCTGTGGACGTGAGAGTCACAGCTTTCATTTCAGAGGTGCAGAAATGCTTCATCACTCCTGATATAACCCTGAAAATGCCCCCAAACGCACCGTGGGGCGCTTGAAAGCCCAGAAGGGGCAAAAGCTCCTCCGTGGGTGACTTTGGGCTGCTGCTGGGAATTTTGGATTTCAGGGTTGATGCTCGGCGCTGGGGAAAACGCGGCTCTTTGGGTTGTAAAATGTCCAACCTCAGATTCTCCCAATCAAGCACATTCTCTTCTTAAAAAAAAAAAAAAACAAACCCAAACAAACAAAAAAAAACCCCAAACAAACAAACAAAACCCAAACCAAACAAACAAAAAAAACCAAAACACCAAAAACGTAGCCACACCGTTCCTGATGTTTCTGGGATTTTTGGCACCAATTTTTTTTTTTTTTTTCAAAACGGAGCCCAGATCCTGGCTTTCCTGTAATTTCACAGGTCCTCCTCGCCCAGCCCCTCTCTGCCCCCGCGTCCCTTCGCGAGGCGGGGGCCAGGGGACGGCCGGTGCCGGGAGCGGGTCCCTGCCAGACCACAGGCGAGGGTGTAATTGCCCTGAGCTGCTTTCCTGCAGAACGACACCATCTCAGCAAGGCTGCGTTTCGCTCGTGGTGACGGAGCCCATCCCGGGCTGGGTTACTCCTGACTCGAACTAAACATTTTCATCACGGTCCCCTCTCCCCTTCAGCTGAAGATGGGACCGAACCCTTCCGTCGCTACACTTTGGGGAGCAAACGATCGTTTTCTCGAGCATCAGCGCACAAATTCGCCTTCAACCCACTTTCCAGGGATATTTATAGCACCAAACCTTTGCAGTGCTGGGGAGAGGCTGGTTCCCAGTGGCCAAGGATCCAGGATTTGGGATCCTGCCCCGGCTCTCTGGGTGGGGGCGGGAGGACAGGTTGGGGAAGGATGGGGGAACAAAACGCAGCCGCACTCCATCTTTCCAACCTACACAGCCCTGCGGAAGCGGTTCCACATCTGCTGGATCGCGACGTAACGGCGCGAGGAACCAGCATTTCTGATGTGCAGGCAGAGGAACATATGGCCCGGCGTATGCAAATGCATTGTCACTTGGAGCATACAGCAGAGGGGTTTCTGGTGAACATTTCTGAGCGGAACAGAGGGCAGAAATGTAAAAAAATAAAAATTAAAAAAAAAAAAAAAAAAAAAAAGAAAAGGTGGCAGCAAATCAAGTCCTGAGTAGATCTGCAGTATCTAGGTTACCTTAATTATGTTCGGCTAAATATGGATGCAAATTAATTAGACGGCTGCTGATTTTCAAAGAAAATTAGTTTACTCTTAATGAGCTAATCAGTCCCTATTTTAAAAAAAAAAAAAAATAATGAAATTATTAGATTGTACAAAGGCCGCTTGACACGGAGTGCCAAAGTCTGCTCCAGCTGGGATTTATCGGGTGCAGCATTGCCAGGATTTCCGCGTGGAACAGGCTGCAAACGGCATCGCGCTCCCTCTGCTCTTATCCCAGCGGGGCTGGGCTACATTTGCCAGGAAAAAAAAAAAAAAAAAAAAAAAAAAAAAAAAAAGGGGTAATTTACTGGCAATATTGAGTTATTAGCTCAGGATTTAGGACCACGAGCAAGTGGTGTGTGGACAGGCGCCCTCCCAGCTCGGGCTGGGTGGCGTGGAGAGGGAGGCAGAGATGGGGCTGGAGCGCTCCGAGTGCTCAGACAAAGCTCCCGGTTTTTCGAATATTAATAAGAGTCAAGCTGTGCGCTGCAATTAAAACGCTGATTATAATTTCTTCCATCTGTAGCCGATTCTACTCCAGAAATTAAAAGGGAAATTCAGCAGAGATGTCAACGTTCCATGGGGAAAGTGTCTTAAAAGGAATGCCAGGGCGGGGGGCGACGGGGCGCGGAGGGGCTCGGGGAGGCTGGGGGGGGAGCGCTCCTCCATCCCACCGCAGCTGGCTCTCCCAGTTCTCATCCCAGTTGGAAACCCCGGCGGGTTTGACACTGCGACTTTGCTGTCCGGGAACCTGAGAGACAACCACCTTCTCCCCACGCGTCTCGCGGGCCTTCGTAGGCTTCAAATTCCATGGGGAAGGTGCATCCTGGAGGGGGAGTGAGGGCAGCTCCTCCGATGTCAAAAATGCTCCTGAGAATGAGGGAGCGGGAGCCCCCCCGTGTCCCCTCCTGCAGCCCACGAGCCGTGGGGCGAGGGGCGGGGGGGGGGGGGCCGGGGATGGGATGTGGGTGCCAGCTGGGAGCTGGAGCTCCAGGCGGGACAACAAGCAGCATCAGTGCAACCCCGGTACCCCGCGGCAGCGCCTTGCGCTCACATTCCGGGAGCAAAGCGAAGCGAAGGGATTATTTATTTCACGTTCAAGGTCGCTGCCGCCCGGCTCTTCCTCGAAGAGATGCGGCTTTGTGTCTGCCGCGGCGATGAGTGCTCGGCCAGGAGCCACGGCTGCATGCCACGGGCTCCCCCCGGGGCGGCTTCTGAAGCTTTTCTGAATTTACGGGAGTTTAAAATTGCATGAGCGAGAGATGTGGGCGCTGACGCGAGGAGCCGGGGAAACTTTTAGCCGGGGAAGCAAAAGCACAGCGCGGTGGGGAGAAAGGCTGCGTGCTGCAAAAGTGCAGAGGTGTACGTGCTGCTTCTCCCGTGCGAAGGGGCTCGGACGGGTCCGGCTGCAAACCCAAGCTCAGCACGTGGCTCCTGGGCATCGGGGGCTCGCGCGGGGTTCCAGCGGGGTGAGGGAGCCTTAAAAAGAAATTTTTGCGCGAGGTGGCGCCTGCCGCAGCACACGAAGCAAAAGCCCCCTGGGGTTTTGCAACAGGAAAAGTGGGTGCGCAGGCGGGCTCGCCCTCTCAGGGCGATCCAATTTGGGGGGCCGGGGTCATATGGACAAGCTGAAACGAAGGGTAAGGGCTTTCTGGGAGCTGTGTTGGTGAAATAGCGGGGTCACAAACCCCAGCGGCCTCTGCCACTGGAAACGGGCAGGGTGGAGATGTGCCCTGCGCCCGCCCCGCCGGCGCGTGCTCGCTGAGAGATGCCAAAAATGTGTTTAACAAATATTTTGTTTTCTTAACCCCATTCACTGAGGCAGCTCTAAATCTTCCCTTCCCCACCCAAGAAAACCCCGGTAAAGGACAGCGGGGGCTTCGACACATCCTGCTGAAGATGGATATTCCCGGGATGGAGCTCAGGGACAGAGATTTAGGGACCTGCTCCGGGTCGGAGTCACCTCCTCCGGGGCCAAACCTCTTACCTGCTCGAGGGGGATGACGAGGAAGGAGCCCCCGCCGGCGCTCTCCGTCACGATGGCGAGGAAGCGGGCGTTGACGGCGCAGAAGTGGTTGTCATGGACGTTCTTGGTGATGGGGATGCCGTCGAAGCAGTGCTCCCGGCTCGCCACCTTCCCGTAGACGTTCCGAAACTTGGAGCTGCGGTACTGCGGGCGCCATGACATCTGCGGGGCAAAGGCAGAGGGCTTCAGCCTCCCGAAAACACCCCCCACCCGGGCTGTCTCTTTCCCGTTTCCAACCCGTGCTGCAATAGGGGGTTTTTGCCCGACGAGACGCGGCAATAGGGAGGCAGCCCAGATCTGCAAATAGAACACCCTTGGAAAAAAACGTAAGATGTCTCCCTGGTGCAAGGTACAACTCACGACAGGCATTAAGAGGCTCTCTACTGTTGCAAAATTTAAGCCGATCTCCTTGCCAGCACGAACTGCTTACAGAACACGCAGCACTACTACTTCATGTGCGTACGACAAATGAATTAAGGCTTTTAATGCGATGTCTTGGGAATGGCTTGGCCTGGGCCGCGTGAGAGCACGCATCGGGGCAGAGCAAGAGCACTTAAGCAGGGAGCGAGCCTCAGAGAGCCGCTCGCGCGTTGCGTTCAGCTCCCTCAGCTTCTTTTGCACGGGTGTCCCCGCGGGGGCTAACCCCGAGCACCGCGGGGGCCCCCGCTGCTGTCGCTGCCGGGGCTGGGAAGCTCCCAGGGACCCCCCCAGCTGATCCCGGTGGGCCAGGGACCCCAAGGACCCACTGTCTCATCCTGCTTCCCCAGAGCAAGCCCCAGCGCTGCAGCTGCACGCGCAGAAACGAGGGCGCTTTTCGGCCGCCCTCACCATTTCTTCTAAGAAAAAAAAAAAAAAAAGAAAAGAGAAAAAATTAAAAAAAAAAAAAAAAAGGACCTTTTTTTTTCATTTCAGCCTTCTTTCGAACGCTCCTTATGGTAGCACAAGTGTTTAGGATAAAAATCTCTAAATATGTAAGGCACTCTGAGTGTGCAGAAGAGCATAAGTGTTTAAGCCACCTTAGAGCAACCAAGTACTCAGCTCTAGCCAAACACAGGGTAATTGCACGCCTGAGGACTTGCAGCCGCCTGCGTCTCCATAACCAGCATCTATTCACAAAAGCGTGTAAGTGTGCACCTCAGCGTTGGCTGAGAGCATCTCTCGGCGAGGGGCGACACCCCAGGAACGCTCCGGTAGCTGCTCTAATCCCCAAAAAACCCCGAGTCCCTGCTTCCACCCGAACTCAGCGCCGGGTTGGGAGCACGGCGTGTTTGAGCAGCGTCTCCCGAGTAGGAAAGGGGAATGCTTTAAGGCTGGAAACGGTCGTGTCTCCCTCTCTAAACTCGCACGGAACGAGCCCAATCGGCTTAACTCACGGCTTTGGGGCAAAAGGCAGAGCGAGGAGCGGCGGCGGGTAATATCCTGCACCGTGCACTCCGGGGCTGATGCCGAGGGACGTGTTGCAGGGACCTCTGTGAGGATCCCGCTGCGCTGCCTCGACCCTGTACCCACCCGTCGTGTCCCCCCCCCCCCAAAATCCCAGCTGGATTTTCCACCCCACCCGGAGCATCCTTCCGAGGACGCACGGCAGCGCCGGGGCGGCGATGCTGCCGGCAATCCCCAGGCTGCAAGGAAAAAAGGACACAGATACTTGAGGATTTAACCCGAAACAAGAGCAGAGAGACGGTTTTGGCTGGAAAGGGTCCTGCTCCGAAAAAAATGCAGACTCACGTCCAACAAAGCACTGTGAATCTTTGCCAAACCTACCCAAGCGCTCGGAGCCAGGCAGGGCAAGGAAAAACACCCTGACCGCAGCTTGAGGAGTGGCTTGCGAGAGTTTCACTAAATCCTGCATTTTCTTTTGTCTGAACAGATGAGTTTTCATAGCGAAATGAAATTTTTTTATAACGTTAAAAAAGCGCCAAAATGGATTTCGCTATGTTTTAACCTCTCGATTTGCTCCATGATCGCAAGACTTTGCTCTCACTTCTGCCATCCCTGCTCCTCTGCTCTGGACCTATTGCAAAAAAGCCCCAAATTCTACTGAAAGGGCCATTTGCTCATTCCTGCCCCCACTAAACTTTTCAGATGCACTCGTAGCACATCCCCACGCAGGAGAAACCCCACGGATGACCCTGCACAAACTCCTCCTCCACATGGGGAGTAGCAGTAAAGGAGCTTCCAATATCTTCTGCATCCAGAAATTCAGCTTAACGAGTCACTGCCAGACAAAGCAGCAGCACAAACGAGCTCCAAGCAGCCCAGAGATGTATTTTTACCCTGATTGTGGATCCTCACGTGTGTGATGCTCCCTACCCGCCTCGGTCCCCAGCCACGAGGGTGATGCTGCTTCCAGGACCTCAGCACTTTTGCATCTCCTTTTTTTTTTTTTTTTTTTTTTTTTCTTTTTCTTTTTTTCCCCCCAGCCCTCCCTCTTTTATTCTTTTCACCAAAAACTGGGCAAGCCTCCACACAGCCCCCGCCACGCCGGGAGGAAGCAATAAGCTCAAGTGCCTGTTTTGCTGGAGAAATCCAGAGTTTCTTTCCTTTAACCTCAGTCAGTATTTCCTGTAAATAGCGTCGCATTGCCCCGCAGCCCTGGGGGTGCAGACAGCCCGGAAACGCCGGCAAAATCCCTGGCAAGGGGCTCAGAGCTGCCCAGAGCCGGCATTGTGCGGCGGGTGGCTCCCGGCCGGGCCCTTTCCTGCAGATTTCTGGTTTTGGCAGCCGGCGGAGGCTTTCCCGTGCCAAAAATAGCTCCCTGTGCCGCGTGGGAGAGCTGGGGATTTGGGGGGGGGGGGGGGGCTCGTGGAGGTCCCAGTCCCACCTGCTGCGGGGAGCATCAGCCTTTGGATGGAGAGGGTGCTGCAGTGCGGGAGGAGCGGGGAAAAAAGAGCGATTTGGGGCCGATGGGAGATTTTGGGGCTGGAAAACGAAAAGCTCAGCCCCTTTTGCCCCTGCGCCTGGCTCCGAAGCAGGCAGCTCCCGCCGGCGTTTGGTCCCGTCGCTGGAGTGAGGTGCTCAAGAAGGGGGGCGGGCAGCAAAAGCCCGCTTTCAGAAGATCATCTTCGTGTCCGGTCCTTGAGCAGATGGCTTTGGCAGAGGTCGTGCTCCCCAGCTGGAAAGTCACCCGGGGGAAGCGGCGTCTTGCTCTGCGGTGCCGTTTACCCCCTCCGGGTTTGGTGCGTGGAGGGATCTGCCCACCCGGCGCTGCCACGCTCTGCCCTTTCCCCGCAGAGCCCACTGGGCTGCAGGAGGCATTGCCTACAAACAAAAACCTAGCGAGCTCTTCCAGCTGCGAAAAAAAAAATCCCCAGCTTCCCATCCCCTTTGGATGTTCTCATGAGTGATATTTCATTTCTAAGTCGATGAAAACTTCGAATTTCCGAGCAGAGGCCAGCTTCATTTTTCCGTTTATTTTTTTTTCCTCCACTTATTTTTCCCCACGAGATATATTTAAACCTTCTCTTCGAAGCTGGTGTCTGCAGACAGGTGCGTCTCATGGGGCTTCCAAGCATCCAGGGGATGGGGGAAGCAGCGGGAGCCCTTTGGTTTCTGCCGGCAGCCCGTGGTGGCCGCGGCGCTGAGCCCGTGGCAGCGCTGCCGGGGCCACCACGGCTCCGATCCGGAAGGATTTCCCCAGTTCCCAGCTGCTCCCGGAGGATGCAAGTCCACACACGAGGCCACCGAGGGACCTTGGGGATGCCAGGTGGAAGAAAGTCAATGAAAACCCGACGTGCGAAGGGCGATGCACAGCCCTTGCGCTGCAAACACGGCTGCCGGTGGGTTGCACGTGGGAAGCCTTCCCCGCAAAATACACGGTTTCACAAGAAACACCGTGTTATGATAGAAAAATGTTGAAAACACGTCGAATTTTCTAGCCAGGAGGATGAAAATCTCTTATCCCGCAGCCTCTGCAATCCAGGGTAGAGGTGTCTTTTCAAGCGGGAAATAGTTTTGTTATTTACTTATTTATTTTCCCTCCACGTGCTGCTTTGCAGAGTCCTTCACTCCCCAGGGTTTCCAGGCTCGGAGGGGCCACGCTGGAGCTCAGGGCTGGACAAACATCCTATTTCCTGGCCGAGCCAGCGAAGGCTTTTGAAGATGAGGAGGGGTTGGAGAGGAGGGGGAGATGCTTCAGACACCGGCGGGACGCCGCTCAGCGTTCCCCTCCGGCACCGAGCACTTTGCAGGTGGGGAGGAAAACAGCCCCTTCCCCAAAGGAGCTCGACTGGGCGAGACAAAGCGGGAGAGGAAAGGCTTGAAAAAGCGCCCCAGCCGCGGTCCCACGCCGGCCCCTCTGCCCCACGCTTCCTCCCGGGGGGCCGGCGACAGCGGCCGGGGGCTTTGCACCAGTGTTTGTACACGGAGACATCCAGCCATTCTGGAAGTTATTATCCCAAGCACTTGCAATCCTACAGCACATAGTTTTTACGAAACTCGCTTTTTGAGTCATTCTCTACATTCTGCTGGCGCTAATGGGCATTTTTATTTTTCCTCCACCTCGCTCTCAGAGGCATTAAAAAAAGTGTTATTGATTTATTAGAGTTGTTTCCATCCATCTCCAGAATCAGACTAACGTGCCACCATTTCCAAGGCTCATTCTCATTCTGCATTATTCTTGGACTCTGGTTTTTCCTTTCCTTACAAAACTCCTCCCTCGTTTTGGGTTGAGCAAAACTTACACGAAAAACGAGAATACGACAAAGCACTTTGAAGTGAGACAATAAAATAAATCACATCCCCAATCACGACATTCAGCATCAACATGAAACAAGCAGCAGCTCCGCTCCGGCGTTTTTAGGCTCATTGCAATGTTTTACCCATTTAAGCGTTTGAGGGGAAGAGCGTGTCCTAAAATCCCAAACTGGAAGGTGGAAATCTCCCTTGTGACAACAGCCAGGGCAGAAAATGGGTGAGCTGGGAAGGCCGGAGCAGGGATACAGGCGAGTGCAGAGCATCTCTTTGCCCTTCCTCCCCTACCCCTGCTCTCCCCAGCAGCCCCGCGGAGGGGAGAGCCGCCCAGCGCTGCCATCCCGCTCCTCCTCTCCAAACAAAAGAACAAAGCAGCTCATTGAGGTTTCATAATCCCAGCAAGGATATCTGCCACCGCCGGGCATCCGCGCCGAGCCGGGCACCCAGGCTGGGGGGGTACATCCCTCGTTTAGCAAAACTGTTTCACTGGAGGAGAAATGCCGAGGAGCGCCGGCTTGTTTCTGTGTGTCGTCGTGTCAGTTTTTGTGCTGTTCCTCAAAACCAGAGGAGAGCCCACAGCCCTGGGGGGGCGGGGGAAGACCCCAGGGACAATATTATAGGCAAGGAGCCGGGCGTTCGGAGCTCTGGGTGAAGCCTGCCGCGCTCCCTGGCACCTTTCAGAGTTGCATTAAGATCTGACTGACCCTGCTCCACTGCAAAAGCAGATAAGGGGGGAGGATGGACAGGAGTGTGCAGCGGTGGTCGCTGAGCAAGAGATTTTCCCTGCACAACGGGGCTGGATTAAGGTGCCGATGCTGAGCTGCGGCTGCAGCCCCGTACCGGGAAGAGACGGGCAAGTTTTCCTCTCTGAGAGCTCAGGCTGGTTCGTGGGTGGAGGTTGGGGGGACTTGACTTCCCTCTCTTTTTCCCCCATCTATCCTGGGAGCTGCGATATCGCACCGTGTATCACAGGGCTGACACATGAGCATCTGCCCGAGCGGCGTGGGGAGCATCCCGGGACGAGGGGCAAAGCAAGCCTGCGGCTTTGCAAGCCCAGAGCTGCCCCGTCCTGGGCACCCCGCGACCTCCTGCTTCTTGCAGGGTGGGGGAATAAGCTTTTAAGTGGGTGTCTCGGGCTGCCATTCAGTTTTACAGCAGAGGGCGGCTTCGGGAGCGATTGCATTAAAAGAAAAATAAACCCAAACTTTTTATTTTGCAGGCGGATCTGACCCACGTGTCCCAAAAGCCCCCACAAACCCCACGGGGACCGGCTCTGCCCACATCCCCTGCGAACGGCGCTGCCGTTCGCCTGGAAAAAAAAGAAAAAGAACCAAGAAGCAAAAACCCAGCCCCTCTTTGGAGGCTTTTCTGATCTGCTGGCAGCTCCAGCCTTTGCCTACTACCAGCAGCAGCAGGACACAGCTCTTGTCTCAATGTGTTTATTTTTAAATGCATCTTTTCAAGCATCGGGAGTCTTGGCAACAGCAGCCGGGAGGGAGAGCTTGCGCAAAGAGCCCCTAACGCTGCGACAGGCAGTTACACAGCACAGTGGACTGTAATCCCTAAAAAATCTCTATATCCTATATATAGCCCCGTTTAATCTGCCCCGGTCATGAAAGCTTTACAGAGAAATTAATTTCTACTTTCACCTGTATCAAGGAGGCATTCTGGGGGGGTTGGCAATACCATCCCCCCCCCAGCCCTGATACAGTGGGAGACCTTTCTCCTTCACACTGTGCCCCCCAGGCTGACAAGGGGGCCGTGGCACCTACAGCAGCTCTTTGGGTTGCCGCGATGGCACGGAGCATCTCCCACGGCCTTAGAGTGGTTTTTAATGGGAAACCGGCCGTCCTTCATCGTGACTCCCCAATTTGTTGTTCTGCACATGGTTAAGTATCAGGGTTATGGTTAACTGGCGAGAAAAAAAGAGGTTTGCATGAAAAAACGTGTTGGGAAAAGGAAATCCGACATTCATTGTTTGCCTAGAAAATCTGGGGCTTTCAGGAGGGGTTTTGTGGCACTCCAGGAGACAGTGCCTTTCCAAAATCACATTATTCCCCTTTTTCTTGCTCACTCCTGGTGCAGGCAGAGGTTCTGGTGAGCATTTCCCATCTGAGGCTTTCCGGTTAAAATCAAGGCAGAGTTTTGTACGAAGCAAGCAAATACGACTGAAACCCACCCCCTCGCTGCCCCCCGTGCCCCCCCTTTGCATGGGGGTTACTTTCCATCTCTCCTCTCCAGAGCCAACATGTTGCCTGCTCATCCCTGGGAGCCGCCGGGCAGAAGTTGTTTTCCATCAGAAAGGTCAGCGGTGCTCGAGTTTGACATTTCAAATATCGACCAGCCATTAAGGCAACCAAGGGTTACCGGGCTAAAACAAGAGCTGCTTTTCGGCAGGTCTTAACCAAGGAAATGGCTTCATTTTGTAGGAAGCCCAGGGGCTGCCCGATCCCCCCCCTGCCCTGGCCCAGGGACACTCCTCACAGCTCCCTCGTGCAGAGAAGAAAGAAAACGTCGAAATAGCTCACCAGGGCTTATTTTAGAGGAAAAAGCCACCACTTGACTCGCTGCCATGTGCCTTCCAGGACAGAGACACCGTCCCCAAAGGCCCCACGAGGCGGGCACAATCCTGCTCTGGTCCCGAGGCTCCCAGTGGGACTCAGCACTGGATTGAGGAGCCTCGTGGCCAAGAGGAGGGGATTAAAGCCCTTCCCAAGGGACGTGGTAAATATTGGCCATGGACTTGAGGGGGAGCCCGGGTCCCGCAACACCCGGGGGCAGGGGATTTGGGATGAGCGGTGCTGTGCTCATGCTCATACCCTAAATCAACGCTGGCAAACAGCAAAACACCAGCCCCGCCGCGCAAGCCGCCTCCCTGCCCCAACCCCCCCTCCCCGCTGGCTTTGCTTGAGCGAAGCCAATATTTTTTTTCCGCTCGGCGGGGAAAATGCACAAGCAGGAGCTGGCAGAGCCGCTGGCGGGCTGCGGCAGGACGGTGTCACCCCGAGACGTGTCCCGCCCGGGCTCCTCCGGGCACGGAGGGTGGGATGTGCTCAGCGCACGCCCGGTGCCTTAGCAAAGCATTTATGTAGGATTTATACTGCAGGAATCCACTCCCGAAAGAAAAGCTTGAAATTAAACAGCTATATTTTGATAAGATACCCAGCATTGCCAAAATTAGTCATCAAATGCTTATTGTTCCATGCACATTAGATTAGAGCCAAACAAATGCTGATTTTGATCTCTCCAGTACTCTAATGCTCTGATGCTTCTCAATTCAACCTTGAAAACGGCTTTTGTTCACATTAATGGCTTTCATGCTAACGAGGCTCGGTAAGATTTAACATTTAGGCACATCCCGTTCTTCATTTTAATAACAATTCCGCCACAGAGAGCAACACATGTTCGCAGTGTGCAGGCGTAATTCAGCCACCAAACGGGACTGAAAGTCCAGGTTTAGCATTGCTGCGGGACTGAGGCTTCAGCCGGGGCACCCGGGCGCGTTTGCAGCCTGAGCTTGACTTAAAAGCAGACGGGCTAAGAAATGCCGAGTCTCCGGTATAAATTAAGTGGTTTCTCTTTTGCGCCAAGGGACCTTCAGAGCAGAGCCAGCCAGTTGGGCTCTTGGCTTGCTCAGGCTCAGCTGCTGTTTTTATGCATCTCTCTGTCCCAGCCTTATTAAAATGCCCTGCGCGGGACACTCACCAGGCTGCTGTGCTTGCTTCCCAGCACGCTAGACTTGTGGAGGTCTCTCATTGACTCGACAAGAGCTCTGTGCAGAGAGGGAAAGCAAAAACATTCAATTCACCATCCCGGGAGGCTGAGATCAAACACACAAACCCTTCCTGCTCCTCCGCGCCGCGGCGCTGGGCAACGCAGGGCAGGATCCGACCCCCGCGGGGCTGCTCCCGGGTAATTTTTGCACGAGCCGGAGCGTCACCGGTGGCAGGGCACGAGGCTGAGCCCCCCCGAGCTGCTGGCAGCAGCCGTCACACCGACCCCACCTCCTCCTCCCCGGCGACCGCCAGCCCCGTTCATCACGCATCGCCGCCTACTTTCTTCTAGAGAACAAAGTAATTCCAACACCACTAGTTTTTGCTCCTGAGACCGTTAGCGAATGGATGATGCGTTGACGTACACGGCACGTTGCCTGACTCATACACAGTCAACGTGCTCATTAACCTGTCCAGAAACCTTGGGATCAGCAGCGGGATGTAAAGCAACATCGATTCACGCAGCCAGGTACGGGCTCCCATCTTGCTCGGAGCCGCCACTTCCAAAGGCTTCCGTTTTAAAACTGGGGCTTCTCTGCCAGAAGGCCTGGCTTGACTTTTGAAAAAAAAAGGCGGTTTACGTGAAATCCGGCACAGGCCGATGGCTGCGGGTCGTTGACACGTTCCCAGCCCGTGTCCCCAGGCGGCGGGGACGTCGGCCTGAGCCCCCCCCCCCGCGCGCCCGGGCCGGGCTGACACCACGCAGCAGCACAGCGGCGACGACCATCAGAGCCCCGAAACCAAATCCTGCCAGGCTGAGAAAGTTCCAGGGGCCGGAGGGGAAGAAGGGGTTTAATAGTTGTATGAGGTCAGTTCAGGATTATGTATCGACCGCTAAAAAGCAGATTATGGGTATTTATGAGACAGACGAAACTGCACATCCCATTACAGCGTAACTATGCCGATAATAAAGCTCCCCATTAAGCCTCCACGCAGCTATTATGGTTTGGATGGCTCGGTAGTTATGACTCTAAGATACCAGTGGTGCTGGGATCTCATCCACCTCCCGCTGCCGGTGGCTCCCGGGCCGGGGCCGGGGCTGGTCACAGCTCTGCTTGCCCCAGGGTCTCACACAGACCCGTGGAAGCCCCTCCACGGCTGCCCATGGGCAGAGATGCCACCTGGAAGTGCTCCGCTGCCAGCACCAGGGACACAGCCCCACATGCCATCAGCATCTTGAAGCTGCTTCTTCTTTCCGACCAAGTTTTTCCATGCATATTTCGATCCCTCAGTAAAAAAAAAAAAAAAAAAAAAAAAAGAAAAATTATACATAACCTAAATTAGTTATAAATGTTCAAGAACAGAGAAAAGAGTCTCCTCATTGGGAAGAAGCTTTTTTTCCCTGGTCCTGATATGGGTTGGATCCCCTGGAAAGCTGATAAGCGATTGCATCATTTTTGCTTTACTGACAGAACGTGGAGCCCCGGGGCACTGCGCTGGGCAGAGCTCAGCAGCCCGCAGAGTCACGGGCACGCCGGCCCTCAGCCCTGCCAGCTGATGCTGCGCAAGGCAGCGTCCCTCAGCACACTCTGCACCCACGGCAGGATGAAATACCAGCAGCCCCCCGCTCCTCTTCAGGGAGGGAGAGGGTCCTCCTACTCCCATCCCACCCCGCCGGCTCCGTTTTCACCGGCTCCTGGCAGGACATGGTCCTCGAGCATCTGTCCCACGGCTCGCGCATGTCCACACCACTGACGAGAGACCCCGGCTCCCCCGTCCCCACCAGCCCTTTACACACACACAGTCCACCGAGCAGGGAAGAGCCCTTCAGCCTGCTCTTGACAACACTTGGGAGACCCAAATCCTACAGCAACCAGCAAAGCTCCTTGTTTTCTCCTTATTTATGCATCTGGCTGATGGCACAAACAGCTGGAGCGGCAGAGGGAAGCTGAGCGAATGGCTTCAGCTCTGCACCCACCACAGGAAACACCTTGGGGCTCTAATAAACACCGGAATAAATGCACTGAGTGGGGCATTGAAAAAAAGAACGTGTTCCCATCCCAAAGGCTGTCACGTTCCTTTCCCCGCCGTCCCGTTGGGCTTCACCCTGCCCGGCACGGCTGGGGAGCAGCGGCGGGGACGAGCTCGCAGAGCACATGGCAAAGCTAAAAACTCTACTGTGGGGTGGGTGGGGGGGGAGCGGAGGTGACGGGGGGTCGGTGTGGGGCATAGCTCAGGTCTCACCCCGTCCAACACCCCGCTGACAGCTCCCCACAGCAGCAGCAACCCAGGTTAGAGGCTGCCCCGTGGCAAGGGATGCTGCCAGCCCGGCGGAGCCCCGACACGCGGGGACGTGGGCAGAGCGTGGGCTCGGCAGAGCCCCCGGGGCCAAGCGTGGCGTTAAGGTTGCATCAAAAAACCCGGGCTTGGGGTCTGATGCTGAATTCGCTGTGCTTTTACCCGCGGGGTTTTGCACTCCCCTGTTGGCTAGGGTGAACGGCCAGCCGACGGATTGAATTGCCTTGCGGCGCGCGGAGCGCCGGTGCTGACGTGGCCTGGCACCGCCCGCTCGTGCTGCGCCCCAGGAAGGTGCCCCCCCCACCCCTGCACCCACCCCCCACCCCCCAAAAGCTCTCCCCACCAGCCGGGACGGCAGCGGAGGGGGGACAGACCCCGCTGACACCGCGTCCGACGGCGAGATACGAGCGGCCACCCTCAAGAGGCGCGTTTGGGGGGCATCCGAAAGGCGGTTCCCAAGGTTGTGGTGCAAATCCAGATGTTCCTGCACCGGTTTTCCCCTGCGCCGGCCCTCCAGCACCTCGGCGGGTGCTCTGCAGCACCCTGCACCCAGCCACAATGCTACGATTAAAAGGGGGCTGGGACGGTATTAGCACTGGGGCAACATCCTGGCAGAAGGGAGACCGGGGACACCAGGCAGTCGTAGAGCCCAGGGCAGAGCTCCCAAGGGGATGAGACCCCCCAGCACCACCACAGCACTGCTCTGAATTGGTCCCCCCAAGTGGGGCCGAGCTGCCAAGAGCCAGAGCAGATCTCTGCTTCTGCACCCACTGGGGTGGTGGGTGCACGCCAGCTCCCTGACAGTGACCCCAGAGCAGGGAGGGGGGCCCTGAGGTGGGATTTTTATCAGGCACGGTTCACTTTGGGAATGCCACTAGTCCTTAGTGCATCCTTAGAATGCCACAGACAAGGAGCAGAGGCGGAGCTCCGTGTTAATCCGACTTGTAAAAAGCAGTAGATGGATTTTACAAATATTAAGAATTAGTCCCATTAACATGGTGTAAACAAAGGACAAAAGACAGATGAACATTTCTGAAGCGGTATCTGCCAGTTGAGTTTTTTCCAGCCTGGAAGGAAGTGACTGGGATTTCCCTGGAGCTCAACTTTTCAACGATTTCTTCTTTCTAGAGACCCCTGACTGCCTGGGAAGAGCCTCTCCTCCTCCCAAGCCGCTGGGAACAAAAGCACCAAGCGAGGCCAGATGTCTCCTGGCCATGGGGCCGGGCTGTCACCACGAGTCCCCATCCCTCCTCGACCACGGTGCTGCTTCCCACCCTCCCCGGGCGCTTCACATGGTCCCCCAGATGTCACAGACCTCCCGGGAACGATGCAAAAAGCATCCCTGGCACCAGCATTCACAGTACTGGCAGGGGCCCCATTTTGGACCATTTTCTCCCCAGGAAACCTTCCGGGGGAGGGAAACCAAACCTCTCCTGGGCCCACGTGCTGAGAAGAAACACAAGTCTCACGCTCGTCCATAAATTCAGTAAACAAGCACAATTTTCCTCCCACTCTGTTTCCCAACTCCTTCCCACCCCGCGAAGCCAGTGGAAACATCCTGATGAAGCACAAAGCGTTTCTGGCCCCCGGAGCTGCCCTAGGTCACTGACCACAGGATTTTACCCTCCTCCAGCTTCTTGGAATAATGATTCCTTGAGGGCAAAAATATTGCATGCTTCTTCCCAACTTGAGAGGTTTTTAGGAAACTCAGAGAGGGGAAAAAAGTCTCTTTTCACATGTTGAGATGAGCAGGTAACTGAGCCAGGCGCTCGTCCATGAGCGTTATTTCACATCGCATCACACATCATCAAAAAAACTGAGTCAAGAGACTTCATTACAACACATTTTTGTCCAGCCAGGATCCAACAATTTTAAGCAGAATAAGCGGGGCTGCCTGTATAACAAGAGAAAGCCTCCGGTGGGAGGACATCATCAATCCAACCCCTCATAATTCACCTGCTTTTTAATGGTAAAGAAGTGAAAAGCCACACGCACAGGTATGAAGGGGCTGGGGCACAGTGGGGACACAGGCGGCTGCCGGACCCCACGGGTAAGAAACTGCTTGGGAAGATGCTGTGGGTAAAAAAAAATCAGGGCAAAAAGGACTGCCGGGGGCACTAATGCTTCTACTTTTGTGATAGCCTGAAAAAAAACCTTACTAAGCCCCAGCTTTTTACAGGACATGAACCATAGAAACTTATTTTTCCTGGCAAACGGGACTTTCCTAAAGCAGGGAGATAGTGCACGGGTGAGCAGTTCAGACACCTCTCCCTCACTTGCTCTTTGCCACCCAAAAGCCCCAAAATGTTCCCCAGGAATGAGCACCCCGGGGTGCTGCTCCTCAGGGCACGAGGCAGCATCCCACAGCCCCGACTCTGGCGGCTCCTTTCCCATCCCAGCCGCTCCCGCACGGAGCCATTCGCTCCTGGACAGCTTACAAAACCGCAAGGGTTTTTTTGGAAGTTTATCCCAGTCGGGGGCAAATGTTTTCCAAAAGAGAAGAAGGAAAGACGAGAAAAGAAAAGAAAAAAAAAAAAAAAAAAAAAAAAGAAGAAAAACAAACACTATCTTCTAAATATTTCAGGCTTCAGAAATCCGTTTCCTGGCCAGCGCGAGGAAGTGCCAGAGCCCGGGTGGATGAAGGTCACAGGACGGCCGGGGCCGGGATGGGGGAGGCGCTGACTCCCCCGTTGCCAGCCTGCGCGGTGCCCGCCGGGGGGCTGGAGCCCGGACCAACCCTGCCTTGTATCACCAGCTCCCAGGAAGAGTGAAACCATCCACCGAAGCGAACCGGAGACTTGTTATTCCGGCAGAAACAAGAGCGTGGGGAAGCTCGTGGAGGAGCGGCTGCGCTATTCCGCCCCTGCCCCGCGATGTCCATGCACCCAGCAGAGCCTCAAACCTCGCCTTTTCCCTATTTCCCCTTGTATTTCAGCACACAGCGCTCTAGAATCGGGTTTCTTTGCGCTTCAAATCATCATGAGAGCAGCCAAACCTTCGCCAGAGGTTCGTGGTGAACCCACCCGGAGCTGGGGAACCCCCCCGGCCTCCCGCAGTGCGGGATGCTCGCTGCGCGCCGCAGCCCTCCCCCGCGTTCACCCCAGCAATATTTCTGTACATTCAGCTTTTTGGCCACTTAAAGCACTCAGCCTTTCCACAAGGACTGAGCTTTCCACGGGTCTGCTCCCATACGATGGACAGCGCTTCTTTGGGTCAAATTTGGGGAGGAGGGGAGCTGCGGCAGCTGCTGCACTCCTCTTGATAAAATAAATAAATAAATAAATAAATAAAATGCTTTTCTGGACATGCAACCAGCTTTCTGCAGAGCAACTGGGGATGGCCGAGAGGGGCTGATGGTGGTAGACCCCCACCCCGGGCATGGCACCGTGTCCCTGGGTTGTTTCCATCCCTCTCCAGTTCCCCCCTGGGTGCGGGCACGGCGCAGGGTCCTCACCTGCCCTGCTCTGCTCCGCGGGCTGGTCGGGCACCTCCTGACACCCAGGAATGGACGTGGGGCTCAGGGAAACGTGGGTGCTCCTCGACCCTGGAAGAAAGGGAAACCGTTTGGTTACAGCAGCATCGCTGCCGCCCGCCCCAAGCCCCCCCGCCGGCCACGAACCGCGGCTCCACCAAACACACTCGAGAAATTCTGGGTGCCAACATGCACCGGGGTGCAGCCGTCGGTGCCAGTGCAGCTGCAGGCAGCTAATTCTTAATATTAGGATTAGCTCCAGCCACACACCCCCCCCACCACCCCCCTTTCATCACCAACCCCCCAGCCCCGCACAGCGAAACTGCTGCTTATCCCAGCTGCGAGCAGGGGTTTCATAGCGTGGGCTGAGCAATCCCTCCTCCAGCAGTGGGGATATCGAGCCCCGAAGCAGCCGGTGCAGAGGCGCTGGGTGCTGGGTGCTGGCCCGGGGATGGCCCCAGCCTGCCTGCAGCCACGGGACCCCCCGAGCACCACGACCACGTGGAAGGGTCAGGATGAGCCCCCCCCCCCCCCTCACTCCAGAGCCCTGTGAGGGCCAGCGTGCCTCGGGGTGGGCACACAGGGATGGTCCTGTGCACGGACAGAGAGGTCATTATTCTCTGGGGAATTTATAGCAGCTATTGTACAGGCGGAGAGCAGGGATGCTCTGAGCAGAAGGCAACTGGGGCTGGGCTGTCCAGAGGGGCGGCCGTGGCTGCAAAAGGACCCTCATTCCTGCACCTCTAACAGCTCAGGCTTCAGTGACAGCCCCAGCAGCCCTACAACCCCAGGAACCAGCCTTTTAGGTCCTTCCTGTTACCAAAACTAACCAGCACTGCAGGGTGCTGGCACCCCCCAGTCCCCAACACCAGCACATGCACATCCCCAGCCTGGCCCCAGCAGCTTCCCCGGCTTTTTGGCTGGAGCGTGGCTATTCCCCACCCTTCGGCGCAGGGGGGTGGGTGAGGATTTTTCCATAAGGCCCGACACCTTGTTTGAGGGATTTTCACAGCGGGTTGCTGGTGGAAGAAACCACCACTCCAAGAGGGGAAAAATCCAGGTCCGCATCCCATCAGGACAGGGGCTGCAGTCGGCGCCCAGACGGGGAGGGTAGCGCATTGCAGCTTGCAGGCACAGCTCCTGTCCCGGTGCTGAGCAGGAGCAGGCGCTTCCTCAGCCATCCTTTCAGGTGAGCATGGAGCAACAGGTTGGGAAAAACCTCCTTTTGAGGTGCAGCAAGGCGGCTGCCACCCTGCCCTGCTCGAGGACGCCCCGGTTTCCCATCAAGCAGGGTCTCGGCCGTGCTCACCAGCTGCACGCCACGGCAGGACCCCAGTCTGGGCTCGGGTCTGAAAGGTTTAGCCCTATTTCTCCACTCCCTGCAACTCAAGCAACATGTTGGCTGCTCCAGCACCGCCCTGGCACAGCCTGTCCCCGGGCAGTTTTGCTCCCGGGGTTTTTCACGGCGATGCTCGAGGCTCTGCAGACCGACTGGAGAGTCGCAGTGAGGGGGCTTTGCCAACAGCTTTGCGAGGAACAAAGGAGCGCGGGATTTCTGGGAGCTGAGCTTGGCACTGGTCCCCTCCCAGCTCGGGAACGATGGGATTCACAGATTTGTGGGGGACTCGAGCAGCTGGCTCCGTCATGTAGATTTTGCCGGCTGCCAGATTTGGGTAATGACACACTGACTCGGGAGATAGGAATCCAGGATTCAACTCCTTCGTGCTCTCTTCGAGCTGGGTAATGAATTGAACTATTCATCATTTGATAAAATTTCCATGAAAAGAAGAAGAAGCGGGGGGGTGGGTGTGTGTGTGTGTGACCCTGCATTGCATTTGCAGGGTATGAATTACAGCACCCAGCGAGCCTGCTGGCCACAGACAGGCAATATTAAAGCGCCAGATTAATGCTGCATTGAATCTCAATTAAAACTCATTAAAAAGCCGCAGGGCAGACAAGTTGCCTTTGATGAGAGTAATACTTCTCGAAAGAGGGAGCTTCCATTTTTAGACTCAAAGCGGCCCGTTATGCCTCTTCCCAACCCCCAGAAATCCCACCAAAGCTAAAGATGAGTGAACATCCCCACTGTGGGAGACAAGGGGACTTGTTCTGTCCTTTATAAACAATTCAGTGCTGACTGCCTTGTTCCATCCCGGTCCAGCTGGTAAGCATCGCGACCTCCTTACCTCCTTCCAGCTGTGGGACCACGCACCACTACATGCTCTCCACCCATCACGTCCCGCAAAGCAGCTCCTCCAGAAGAGCCACCGTCCCTCCCTACCTGCCTCGAACCCACCTCGGGAATCCATTTTGCACAATTACTTATTTAGGAGCCGTGTCTGCCTGAGCAGCCCAAACGAGCGAGCTTTTCCGTCTGCCACGTCGCTGAACCCCAACTAAAAAGACGCGGATTTTAAGGCAGCAAGAGGCAGAGAAAGCCCTGCCCCTCCCGTGCCCTCCGGGGTTGTGTCTGCCTTCACCACTGCCCCTCTCCCGCCGGGAAGAGCATCTGCCCTTTGTCACAGCGCTGTGCCAGCCGCTGGCTGGGACACTCGGTCCCGCGTGGGGACCTGGCCCCGCTCCCCAGTGCACAGCCCCAACTGGGCTCACGCCCCATCGATCCGAACACCACGAGCAAAACCCCACGCAAAGATAAATCCCGTTAATCTGTTTTCCAGAGGTGTTGGTCAGCTCGCACCTAAGCCATTAACGTGAGTTTTATTAATGTTCTTTGGAGCTGTTTCTCGAGCATCAGAGCACACAGAGTGCTTCATCAAATTCCTTTTTAGCAAACCACCCGGAGAAGACTTCACCCATTATTTCCCCAGCAATAAAGGCAAGCTGTGCTGTGCAAAGCCTACTTTCTGCAAAGCCATTTTCCCTGATAACATGGCCCAGTGCCTTCAGTCAAGCTTCCTATTGATTGAACCAGTATCAGCTTTTCCATGGGATCAGCATTTGCCCCAGACACTCTAAATCTGCCCTTACCAACAAGGCAGAGGACACTGTGACCTGCCACCAGGAACATCACGGCGTTGTAACCGTAACCCCCCAATCAAGGGCCTCTGCGGTAATTACTATTTCCCCGTGTTAGGGCATCATTTATTTACTGTGTTTGATCACAACAGGCCATAGTTGCAATCTCCCCTCTGGGTTTTGCTTTTGGCTTCATCTGCCTGCTGAACTATGAGGATGAGCCGTTATTTAGGCAGCGTGGCTCAATGACTAATGCCAATTAATACGTAATAAAGCCAGAGGAGACCATAGGATAATTCAGGCTAATGCATGCCGCGGGACCTCCCAGATGGCATCCTCTTTTAAACTGCGCCTTTTAGAAAAACCTCCAGTCATTTTAAAACTGTATTCCCCAAATTAACATGCCCCCAGGCCCCCACTAACTTGTGTTCATGGTTAATTATATTTAGGGCTTTGGAAACAGCCTCTGGTGATGGGTGGGAGCTGGAAGCACCACTGCCATACCAAGGGGCTTCTGTGCCATGCCTCTGCCTGCCCAAATACATCCAGCACAACCCCTGCCCGGAGGTTAAATTTGTCTATCCCTCCCCGACCACAGGATTCCCACTGGAGTCTCCCCAAAGATCCCGTTGCCCTTTTGAGGGTAAATAAATTCAGAGAGCCCAGCCATGGGCTCCTTCCTCCCACCTCTGTTCTTCATCCTGTGACTCACATCCCTTCTCCCCCGAGCCCCGCGCCGCCCGCCCGCCATCAGCCTGGCTTCGTGCTCTTCCTGCTCGCTGCTATCAATCACAAAGTCATCCAGGGTGAGGAATTACTCACCCAGACCTGGTAAACCACAGCCGTCGAGAAATTCCCCATTCGCCACGAGCCCCAGGCCTGCCAGCACCTTTTGCCCACTGCTTTTGCAAGCCGACTTGTTTAGCTTCGTAATGCGGACCTCTTTTTTTTTTTTTTTTTTTTTAACACTTAACACGGTTTGGGCTGGTTTTCTGATCGCAAGCAACAGACACCAAACCCGAGCCCCAGACTCTTGCAGGACCAGCGGATCCACAGCCGGGGTGAAGTTGCTCCTGATTCCTACAGCTGCTTCTCAGCCACCTCGGTGGCTTTTATTGCAGAGCCTGGAGCAAGCCCGGGCCGTGCCACGATGCCACGGAGGTCTCACAGAGTTTGGGCAGCTCCCTGAGCATGGGGCGTGGGCTCTTTTTGCATTTCAATCGGTTCTTCTCCATCCTATTTATAACCTGCTTAAACTCTCCCGGGTAGCAAACTCCCCCAAAAGAGCGAGGTCTGGGGATGCGCTGCGGCTGCTCGTATTTCTTCCTGTGGGAGGGAAGGGGGTGGCTTGGGACACCGATGAAACCAGCTTGTTTCACATACTGACAGCAGATATTTCTGTCCCCTCCTTGCCTTCCCCAGCCCCACACACACACACGATCCCACCCCCCCCACCAATAAAAGCTTTTTGTGCCTCTCCACACCTCGGGCTTGCACAAGGGCAGCTCTGCCTGGAGTTAGGCACCCAGACCTGATTTTTAAATCAGTTTTCCTCTAAGGATGAATTGCCTAGGAGTATTTGCAAACTTTGTAAAATCCCACCCGTGGCTCCTGTTTCCAGCACCGCCTGGGAAGCAGCCCCAGCGTGGGAGGAGTTGTTGCAGGAATGCCATAAATGCCTGTGCCTGACAGCGCTGGGAGCTGTGGGCTTTACTGGTTTTAGTAAGACACCTGCTCCTGGGCAGGCTGAGAAGACCCCAGAAGTCCCCTGGGGCTCCTCAGTTCGCCTGCCCCCCCCTCAATGGGTCCCCAAGCCCCCCCTGCTCCCCGCAGCCTTGGGTCACCAGGCTTTCCCCGGAATTCCCACCTCGCACTAACCCCTGGTAGCCAAAACCACACAGAAGAAAGAACATCTCCTCTCCCACGGGTGCTCGTGCCACTTTCTTTGTCCCTCACCACATCGGCCTGGCCCACACTCGGCCTCACGCCCAGTTGAAGGACCGGTGTGTGAAGGACAATTTCGCCACCTCGGTGCTGGGGTCCGTGCCTCGACTTTGACTTGGAAAGACCCCAACACTGACGCTGTGGCAGGTCAGGAGCCTGCTCTTGGGTTTAGTTTAGCTTGCATCAGGATAGTCCGTACTGCAGGAAATAAAATCTACAGCTTAGAGCTTTACAGTGCATTAGGAAAAAGCATACTTTGTGCACATGCCATAGGTCTTCCCAGTTTGCACCTCCATTCCCTGAAAATTAATGTCAGGGTCCTTCCCCGTCCTACTGAAGGTGCTTTCCTTACAGCCCTGTGGCCTTTGCTCAACGTAGCTTTGAGTAAATCTAATTGCACTCAGGAAAAAAAAAAAAAAAAAAAAAATCCGTTAATGAGCACTACAAATTAGTCAGCCCGGCTTAAAAGTGTGAGACTTGGTATCAGTGAGTCTGTAGTTTTTTTAACCCAAACGACCTTTCAGGTCCCTCCATCAATCCCTCTCTCAGCACCCAGAAGAGCTGGAAACACACTTTTTCTTGAAGGCGGTTGCTGGTGGGGTTGTGGAGCTGGCAGGGGCTGCGGGACGGCCCCGCGCAGCACGAGGTGCGCGGAAATACCCACCACCACCAAACGCCGGTGAGCACCCAGCAAAAGCCAAGCAGGCAAAATGCGAGTTATTTGCTGAGGACAAAGACGGGGGAGAGCGATTCCTCCCCGGCAGCCGCTTCACTGGGGAGCCTGGGCGCACACCAGCGTCAGCCTTCCTGCCAGGGAGGCCAACGACATTTGGGGGGAAAAGCAGCAAAGAGACCACAGCTACCGCCGCCCTCCCCGGGCGCATCCCACCTCCGGGCTTGGAGAAGGACCACAACAGCTTCGGGTCCTGTTTGCTTCCACTCTGTGCGCAGCAAGCTCGTTAATCCGGTGTCACGCCCAAGCTATGCCCCCCACATCCCCCACACCCCCCCCGGAGCTGTGCCATGGCCCCGATCAGCAGCGTGGCACCGAACCCCCCGCAGGGACCCCAGCAGTCCCATTCCTGGGATCACTGGGACCCATCCAGACCCTGCCCATCGTGGGGGCAGGCAGCCCTTTGCTTTTGGGGGGGGGGGGGGGGGTTTCCCAAGGCAGGGGGGCTGCTCTTTCCTCTTGAGTGGATGAACCATTAGGCTCATCCACACGTCCCTGTCGTCATGTCGGGGCTGCGGAGTGAGAAGGAGGGTTTGGGCCAAGCGGATCCAGCTCCCACGGCTCCCACCGCCCGGAGGTGGCCCTTTTCCTCCGGTCGCTGCCACACCGTGCCATATCCCGCACTAATTCAGCAGGGTGCTGCGTGCTCCGCACCACCCCAGTGTCTGATGCACCCTGGCACGACCCCGAGCCGCTGCGGGATGAGGCGAGCCGGGGGGGGGGGGGGGGGGGGGGGGGTGATGAACTCGGCGATCGCGGGGATGGGGAGGAATGGGAAAAGGTCCTCAGAAAGCGAAGCCTTCCCCTCCGCAGCACCGGCAGCGAACTGGGGGGAGCCCGGCTCTCAGGCTGGGCCAGCAGACGGTTAGAGGGCGGATTTGGGGGGGGGGGGGGGGGGGGGGCCAAGGGGGCCCCGCATCGCCTCCCACCCCCAGCAGCTCTGCTCGGAGTGGGTTTGCTGAGCCGCTGCCGAGCCCCTTCCACCTCACAACCCCCCCACCCCCCCCACCCCGGCCATCTCCATAATCGCCCCCAGCCCCATTCCCGAGGTCTTCCCCCGCCCCCCCCCCCAGCCACCTGTAGAGGTCTGGGCAGCATCTGCCGACAAGCGGCTTAAAGCGGGGTCCGCCCCGGGGGATGCTCAGCCCTCCCCCGCGCCCCCCCCCCCCTCCTCCACCCCCCCCTCCACCACCACCCCCCACCCCCCCCCACGGCCGGCTGCTCCAAGGGTTAAAAATGCAGCACGGCTGCGAGCCGGAGGGGCCGAGCAAGCGGGAGACGCGGAGAAAAACAATAAAATACAAGATAAATCGTGGAAAAGCAGCAAGCTGGATTAAGGGTGGGGGAAAGGGGGTGGCAGCCCCCAGCGAGGCACCTTGCGGGCAGTGGGGCGGCGAGGGGGGGGAGGGGGGGGAAAGATGTCCTTACCTTGGTGACAGTCATGCGGGAAGTCGCGGAGGGGTGCGGGGAGGAGGGAAAGGAGAGAAAAAGAAGGGGGGGGGAAAAGAAAAAATAAGGAAGCAAAAGGAGGCTGTGGGGAAGAAGGAAAGGGGGGGGGGGGGGGGGAGGAGGAGGGATGTTGCTGCGGTGTTTTCCCCGCAGCCCTCCGCCCTCCGCCCGGGCGAGTAGCCGAAGCGATCGGTCCTGGCGCGGCCGTGATGGGGCTGGTGATGTCAGCCCGCGCCGCCGTGACGGAGCAGCCGCCTCCCGCGGGGGGGGGGGGGGGGGGGAGCCAAGGAAAAGGGGGGGGGGGGGGGGGGGACGGGGACAACGGGAGAACAAGGAGGGGACGCCCAGCTCCGGGGAGAAAAGGTCGGTTGGAAGGGTTTGCCAAACCGAGTTTCCCTGTTAGGAGCTGGGCAGGCACCTGCTCCCCACTCCCCCCCACCCCCCCCCACCCCAGATTCTTTGGGGGGTGGCAGCCACCCTGGGGGGGGCTTCCCTGCACACAGTCCGTCCCCCAAATCCGGTGGCGACCAGTAAAACCAGTGTATAACACACCGGGAGTGCGCTAGGTCTCGTTTTTTCCAGGGTGGGTTTCTGGGCGCTGCAGGGGGGGCGGGGGGGGGGGGGGGGCGCGGCCCCCACGTAGGCATTGCCCCCAAATCCCGGCTTTGCCCCTCGGCGGGGGGTTTGCACCTTCCCGCCTGCTCCCTCCCCGCTGGGGATGGCAGTAGGGCCCTATAGCATCCATACAGGTCCATCCCACTGCTTGTTCCCCTTCACATGCAAAACCAGGTGGTTTTTTTGGGTTTATTTTGTTTTTTTTTTTTTTGTCTGCCCTATTAGAGACAGTGACAAGTGACAACACCAGAGACCATTGCTTTGTCCCAGAGCTGTCTGTTCCATTTTCCAGGCAAAAGAAGGGTGGCCCAGACTGGAGGTGACACTCATGCACAGGGATACTTAGGACTCCGGTGTCCCACCATGCAGCCACAAACCGGGACCCAAACAGCTGCTGCAAGGTCACTGACACAGGAATAAAATATGTGTAATTTTATCCCGCTTCCTCTTCTCACCGCCGAGCAAACCGCCCTCCTGATGGCACCCATTCAAAATAAATTCAGGGGTGCAGGGTACCAGGAGGCACTGAAGCATCCCTGCTAACGTCACCAGGCCTTGCACGCCCTTGCACCAGCCACAAAACACAGGCACTTTCTCACATTTTTAAAGATCCCCATCACTGGAGATGAGAGAAGCAATACTTAGAAAACGTAGAATTTTAGCCCGTTGCCTCCTGGTTACATGGGAATGAAACCAGCAGGATACAGCCCAGGCACAGAATTATCCAGCCGTTAGATTAGAAAATGCACCAACTTATTGTTGCTGAATTAAAACTACTTGAAGCCAATACCAAATGCATTTCCAATTCCTCTTAAAGAAAAGTACTCTGCCAATAAACAAAGGATTTCCTTTTTATAAGGAGATTATTCAGCCAAGAGTCTGATGAAAGATTACTGAGTTGTATTCTAGTGCTGAGCCTTCCCATAAAATATCAGTGGATCTGGTAACAAGTGAACACTAAAAGTTGTAAAAAAATGTTTGTCCTCTGATGTTCTTCTAAAAACCATCTGTTTTTAAAAATAAACCATGTGCTGTGAGTTGGGCTGGAAACTAAGAAAGGTTAATACAATTAATGTAGAGATAATGACATTAGCCAGTAGAAGAAGCCACCGTGGTGACCTCTTCCCAGAAAAAAAAAAAAAAAAAAAAAACCAACATTTTCCTGGGAGTTGGTGGTGGAAGAGGAAGGCTCGATGTGCGCAGAGGTGATGCTTAAAACTATAAGGAGCTTGGGAGGGGACCGGGACAGGGGATGTTGAGGCCCAAATAAGCGGAGTGGGGAGAAATGAAGCTCTTGCAAAGCCTGAGAGGAGCCACGGTGCCCCGGCCACTGTCACTCGTGCCGTGGGATCGGCAGCACCCAGGACCTGCTGTGCCTCCTGCGCGCGTCTGGAGCTGCTGGGATTAATTAGCACCAATTAGCTGATTGAAACAACTCACTTGGAGCCATGAACTGGGACAGCTGGTGAAGGTAGGGTGAGAAGGGAAAGGCTGCTCTGCTGCTGGGTGGCTCCTGGGGGCCTGATCCTGCTTGTCGTGGTACACCCCAGCACCCCCAAAACGCTGCTGCTGGGGGAGAGAGGGACAAAAATGTTGAGGAAAGGGCTGGGACCCCCTTAGGGGGGAAGGTTAGGGGGGCTGGTGCAGCCCCATCAGCTGAGCCCTTGCTGGGGTGGGAAGGTGGGATTTTGGGGTGATGGGGAAGCCGCAGCAGCGCCGGCCCTGCTGAGCATGGGGCAACCCCCTGCCCCGAGTGCCTGCCCTCCCGCAACGCTGCGGGCTGAGGGCACCTGGTGCAGCACCTCTGCCTGAATCCCAGCAGAAAATGGAATTAATGGGTGCGTGGGGCACCGTGGAGAGCTGAGCAGGCCCTTAGCTTTTCCCCGTGGCCGGGAAAATAGCATGGGCTCCTTCTTTCACCAGTATAGTCCAACAACTCCAACCCCAAATCATTCAGATTTTGGCAGACTGGAAAGGATTTTATTATATTTTGCATCAAAATTAAGCCAGGGATAGACCGCAGGGGCTTTGATTCTAGGGTTTTGCTTTGAAGGTTTGTTGGGCCCCCATTCAAGCCCCAGACTGGATTTGCCCTTCCTGGGGGGCTGAGGAAGGGGGTTTGCTGGGGCTGTGCAGGATTGCACTGCTGCAGCCCCCGGGGAAAGGGGGATAGATGCTAGGTGCCTGCAAAGAGTTAAAATCTCCTGCTGGCATGGCGCAGGATCCGTCCTGGAAATCAGCATCAGGCATCGGCTGCGTGGGGAGGATCGCTCGGCCCCCACGCTCTCGGGAACGTGTCTCCCGTGGCCCAGGAGGATTCCTACGGGATGGCCAAGGGGAATGCTGCGGCCAAGCTGGATCTGGCCGTGCAGCCCCAGCCCTGTGCAGACGTGGCAGCTGCAAAGAGCTGCGGAGCAGAAAGCCCTTGCTGGGGGGTTGGGGGGAGAGACGGAATTTCCCACGCGTGGCAGGATGCTGAGAGCCGCGTGGGGTGTCGGCGGGGCGGCCGTGGTGGGCCCCGAGCTTCGTGGGTGCCAGGGGCTGGGGCGAGGAGCAGCTCTGGGGGTGGCTTGGGCTCCCCCTCCCGGCTCTGCCGAGATAAAATCGGTGTATGTACCGTGGGGATGGGAAGCTCGCAAGCCTGTGAGCGCACGCCGGCTGCAACGGATGGCGTGGGGACAGGACAGAGGACACCCGGGGACGCTGGGGACGGTATGGGGGGGCGGGGGGGGGGGGGGTTGCATGCGACACTGCACGTCCCTGGGGGCGAGCAAAAGTCCACAGCCATTGCTGCAGCAAAGCAAACCCAGGCAGGCGGATGCTCAAGGGCCAGAGCTGGGTTAATTAACAAAAGCCCTCCCGAAACCAGGCTGGTGTGGGGGGGGGGGGGGGGGGGTGTCCCCTGTGCACCCCCCCACACACACACCTCCCGCCTCGCAGCATCTGCAGCCCACGCGGGGGGGAGCACGGCTGCCTTTCCATCCTTCCCCTTCCATCCCCACCCCTCGATTTAGCTGCGTTGTTTAATTTACTGGCGCTGCTGAGCGGGAGGAAAGAGATGCTGCTCGGTGGATGCGAGCACTTAAAACAAATCGTCGGGAAAACTGGAGCCCGCCCGTCTGGCTGTGCAGAGGGGCAGGGGCTGCGGGAAGAGCGTGGCTGAGTGGTGTCTGTGTCCAGGAGATGTGGGACGTGGAATGCTGCAGACGCACCTCTGTCTTCAGTGCACTACACCTTGCTTAAGGAAAGCTCCCGAGAGAAGAAATATTGCCATGCCCAACCTGAATTGGAAGTCTGGAGCGATTTCATCAACCTGTTACTCACTATTTGGTTTGTCTGAGCCAGGCTCAGCTCTGGGGCAAGCTCCGAGGTTGAGCTGGTTACACCACTGATGAGTTCAGCCCTTCATTTGATGAAACTCTTGGAACGACCCGTCTCTCTTGCACCGGGCTGTGCTCGCGGACATGCGAGAATAACAACAGAGCCGCGCGGTGACGCGTCGTTCCTGTGTCACCAGAGAGCCCTGGTTCTGAGATGATCCACGAACGGAGCTGGCCAAGCGGCTCGCTGCGAGCCCGTGATGGCTTTGCTCTGGGGAGGCAGGTCAGCCCCCACATCTCCTGCACCAGGTGTCTGCCCGGCCGGCTGGGACCTGGGGCCACTCGGTGCCTGGGGCTGGCCGGGCTCCGTCAGCACCGGGGCACTGGAGGGACGGACTGGGACCGATGCTGCCACGGGCATGAGCCGCGGGTGGAACGAGTCTTCATGTCTTCCAGGTCCGTGCTCTTTCTCAGCAAGGAAACGCGGAGAAACGCTCTGAAACAAAGGATGTGAGGGCCTCCCTTAGCAAATACTTGATCCGTGGGGAAAGATCCGGCGAGCCGGTTCCTTGCCCCATCAAAAATGAGTTCCAGTTCTGAGACACTCCCGTCGCTGGACTGGTGTAGGGTGGCCAAAGCTGAGCACATTGTTTGCGCTGGCTAAAATTGCATTGAAATAAATATAGCATAGATATTACATACAGTCTGTGCATGGCAAATTGTCCTGGATTATCCCCAGAGTTACTGCAGCTGTGAATTATACAGAGGTTAATGTTTGGATTTCATACCAGATAATTTATAGAGAAGCCGAGGGATGGGCTTTCATCTCCTTTGATGAAAGTTCATCTGGAATAACAATGCTTGGTAGAACCTGGCACTTGGACTGCACTGAAAACCCAAGCCCTTCTACTTGAAAGTAAGATGTTTCCATTTAAAAACACTGTTAGCAAGAACAAACATCTCTCTATTACTGACTCTCCTTGCTCTTCCCCTCCGCTGCAGTCATCTGGTTCAGATTAGTCCTGGATAAGGTCCCGTTTTGCTCAGGGAACTAGGAGGGGAACTTGGAGCTATTTCTACTCGTTTCAAGTATGAATTGAATGTGGCGCACAAATGAAAACGCAATGAGCTCCAGCATGCGAGGGGAATCAAAGAGACCTGGCAGCTCCTCCTGGTGGAAAACCGCTTCTAATGGCACGGGAGGTGGAGGGTGGGAGCTGCGTTTCCCACCTCAGCGCAGTGCCCTCGGTCCCCAATGCCCAGGCAACCCCCAGGACCGGTAGCAATGACCCCCGGCAC